CCTCCTTCCAGGTCCCCTGCCGCCACCTCAGCACCCAGCCCACTCCCCACACACAGCCCAGGGACCCGCAGAAGAGCCAGCCCTGTGCCACCTCTGTCCACACTGCCCGAGGCTCCCACCTCCCTTAGAGGGAAGATGAGGTCGGCAAAATGGCCTGCAAGCCCTGCACCATCCAGCCCTGACCTCCCTGACTTACTTTGCCACTCTCCCTCACTGCCCCTCAGACACACCAGGAACATCCTGCCCCAGGACCTTTGTACTGCTGTTACTTCTCCTGGGCCTCCATGCTTGCTGAAGTGTGGCCAGACTACTCAAAGCTACAAGCCCTGAGTTACCTTGGGCCCTTTCTGGCCTTTCCAGCTGGCACATCTTTTTCCACAGGCTGCAACAGGGCGACCAGGACTCAGGGAGGGGCACCATCAACATGCTGAGCGTGTCCTCTCCTCTCACCCCTCCACCATCTCAGGGGCCGGGAGGGGCGCACGTCTCCTGCTCTGGTCCCCTCCACCAAGAACAGGGCCCACTCTGTCCCAACTATAGGCCTCACTCCATCCTCCCAGGGCACTGACCTCACAGCAGCCACACCCTGCCAGCTGAACAGCAAATCCTTGTGCTGAGCCTGGGTGACAGCTGTGTCACCCACAGACACAGAATCCAGAAACTGCGGAGGACTCAAGGCTGCACTCTGCATGGCCACTCTGCAAAGACAGCCCGGCCACACCCCTCAGCCACTGCCCAGATGGACAGCTCCTGGAATGTGCGCATCCCACAGCCTCTGAGGAACTCTGAACCAAGCCGACATCCAGGCACCAGAGCTGCCACATAGCAGGGCCAACGTCTGGTTTCAGAAACAGTGGGGCACACTGGGGTGGCACTTCACACTCATTCAAGTGAGTTACTTAGGGGATTGAGTACAGTGGCACATGCTCGGAATCCCAGCTACTCAGGAGGCTGAGGCAGGATGATCACAAGTTCAAGTCCAGGCTGGGCAACTTAGTGACTCAGCAAGACCCTGTCTCAAATAAAAAATAAAAAGGGCCAGGGGTGTAGCTGTGCTCAACTGCTTATCTAGCATACACGAGGCACCGGGCACCATCCTCAGCCGGGGGGGAGGGGTGTTATAAGGCCACAGAGTGGACGAGCTCATGGCACTAAGTCTAAATAGGGAAAAGACCCAAAGATGGAGTCACAGCCACCTGCACTCAGAGGTCTGGGAGATGAGGAACCAGCAAAGGAGACCGGAAATGAGCGGCCCAAGAGGCAGAGACGGGATGGGGTGGGGCGGGGGGGGGGGGGGGCTGTCCCTCCAGATGGGCTATGGTGTCCTGGTCATCCCTCCCTCACCGTGCCCCACACAGGAACCGCACCCCCACCCTGACCAGAGCTCCAAGAGCAGGAACCAGGTGACCCCGGAGCTGCGCCAGCAGCTGACCCACAGCGAGGCCTCGGCAAGACCAGGCACCAGCAGGAAACGACTCAAAGGGTCAGGACACCGAGGTCCCCGCAGGGGCCGCCAGCTGCGCACAGAGCGTCTCCCCAACCCCAAATCATTTCCCTGGACACACTGATGGAAAACTCAACAAAGCCGGAAAATGCCAACTGTCTATCCAGGGCCTGGGCTGAGGAGCCAAAATCCAACATCCCCCTTTTCTTAGGCAACTCGAGTTCAGCCTTTGGGGGCTGCTCCCAAAGCAGCTTTCACTCTGGCTCCTCCCCTTCCCAGCCCGGGCCTCAACCACCACCACCACCCCGCCGCCGTGTGCTGCACCCTTCGGGGGTTCTGCTGGGACACAGGGTACACAGGGTCCCAGAGCCTGGGGACATCTGCAGGGACACTGGAGTATGGAGGGGCCGAGGGGCAGGCTGGGGTCTGAGCTCAGCTGCCCAGGCTCATGGGATCATCTTTTTAAAAGCGCTGGAAAAAGTGACAGAAAGGAGGAACTCAGCTCAGCGGGTGTGAAGAGTACCCTCAGTCCCAGCTGTGTGATGCAAACGTTCCGCCTGCCATGTCAAAGGCCAGGACACTGAGAGCACTTCTGTAGGCAGGAGCATGGTTTCCTCCGCCCCCAATCTGAGGGCCAGCTGGCTGGGCTGCACTACTCCCCAACTCTCCTCCATAAACACAGCTGGAGACAGGAGAGGGTCCCAGGCCTCTGGGAGGCTGAGGCAGGAGGATCACAAGTCTGAGCTCAGCCTGGACAATTTAGTGACTAAGACCCTGTTTCAAAATACAAAATGTAAAAAGGCTAGGGATGTAGCTTAGTGCGAAGGCCCTGAGTTCAAACTCCAGTACCACAAAAGAGGGAGAGAAGGACAGAGGCACAGAGTGAGAACCCACAGCCCTCTGGCCCTCAGCTGCATTTCCCGTGAGCTGCTTCCTTCCTCCCACTCCCCACCCCACACAGGCTGTCCCTACTGACTCTGTCCTCCTGGGGATACAGAGCCCAGGAATCCTGCTGGATTCCAGCCCCCAGGGAGATCCCAGCCTGGGGAAGGTCGGGGCCTTGCATCAGGCTCCAGGCCCCCCTGTACACACAAGCCCCACCCATGGCTGTTAAAAGCAGAACAAAACATGCTGCTCTAGGAGCCCAAAGGGACCCCAGACTCTGCTAAGATCCAGAAACCAGAGGGTTAACACACCGGCTCAGCTCTGCTTCTTCTCTGAGTCTGATGCTCAAGGTTTTGAACCCAGGAAAGCAGACCAGCGCCTGGCCCCAAAACACAGGGCCACCAGTCAGTCTTCTTAGTCCTCAACTCAGGGAACTGAGAAGGTCCAAGGCCCTGATACCCAGTGCACTGACAGCCTCAAAATGTTTCTTAACAGACGTGCCACTGTGCAGTTCAAGCAATCCCTGCTGCATGGCAGGTGGCCCTGAACAGGGTGCTTCCCTTCTCATCCACCTCATCTCCAAAACAGGAGTGTCTACCCCACAGCATGGTGAGTACATGTTCCCACATCATAACAGCCCTGGAAGGACTCTCAACACAAACCCCGGACTGCAGAAAATAAACTGAGGTGTGGGGCAGGAAGTGACTAGATCAAGGTCACACAGCTAGAAAAAGCCAGAGCTAGAACCTAAACCCAGGCAGCCTCTAGCTGCAGAGCCCAGCTCAAAGCCAGGATCAGCAAATTGTTTCTGTAAGGGCTCAGTAGCAGATACGTGGCTTCTCTGGCCACATTTGGGTTCTACCACATATTCTTCTCTGTGTCATGCTGTGTTGTATCCTGCTTTGCTCTGCTCTGCTCTGCTGTTTACAAACCTTTAAGAAAATAGAAGCTGGGCATGATGGCCCACACCTAGAATCCCAGCATGCAGGAGGCTGAGGCAGCAGGACTGCTGTGAGTTTGAGGCCAGCCTGGGCTACATAGTAAGTTCAAGGCCAGCCTGAACTACACAGAGAGACCATGTCTCAAAAAGCAACAAACAAAAAAATGCAAACCCCATTCTTAGCTCACAGGGTGCATGAGACAGGCCACTGGCTGGATTTGGCCCACGGGCTACAGTGCTGCCACTACATCCTCTAAAACCCCTACAGTGTTCTGCCTCCTAAACACTCAACTAATTTGAGTCAGGAAGAGGCGCCACCAGATCCAGCAAAGCACTCTTCTCAGGGCCACCTTGGCCCACAGGCCACCAAGGCCACCTGGTACAAGCTTTCTGAGCCACAGCACCTGGGCACCAGGACGACGGCACAACACCTGCAGAGGCTCCTTCTGTGAATCCCAAAAGGGTAAAGAGCACAGCCAGAGAAGGCACTGGGAGAACTGTGTCCCACCCTACGGCCACATGTCAGCAGCCTATGTCAGAAACAGTGGTGGCCCCCAGTGTCTTGTCCAGCTTAGAGGCTCAAGCAGATTTCCCTCCTCTCTCTCTTCCAGTTCACAGAGCCAGGACACACACAGCCCCTATGAACAGGTGCATGAATGAGGCACCACAAGCCAAATCAAACCCCAGCAGTCAGCCCAAGGAACAGCTGTCAGACACAGGCCTTCAGGACAGAGCCAGCACAGGATCCAGCCAACAGCCGCCATTTGCAAAGGCGGAAGACCTTGGGCTGGGAGCAGCAGATGATGGCAGAGCATCCACTTGGCTTGGGATCTGCCCAATGGCTGACTCCAGAGCTCAGGATCAAGCGTTCTTGGGTCCACACATAAGCAGCAACTCTGCCCCCTCTGGTGTGCTCAAGACTAGACCAGAGCAGCAGGGCAGGAGATGAAACAGCAGGCATGTGGATGTTTGCAGTTTGCCAACCCAACACCTATGCCTCCCCACTCCCTGCTTTCCAGTAATCACGCAGATTTTGGTGAGAGGACCCATCTGACACCATTCATGGGGCTATGGCCGATAAGCTTCAGTGATTGGCTCAAGGTGGAGCACATGATTCAAGCCTGAGCTCAGAGTAACTGGTTCAGGAGTAGAGCACCTGACCCAGCCAATCAGAACACAACACTCCCCTGCTCAGTCATGGGACCAGAGTGTAGTACAAGACCATGTCTCAGCCAATCAGAACCCAGCACTACCCACTGGTAATGATTGGTTCAGAGGTCAAACAAGCAGATTGGAAGATGTTAAATGGTATGAGCAAAGGCTTTGTGTAATTGCTTCGAGTCACGTGACCCAAGCCTAAAGCATTTGAAATATGATGTTCCATTGGCCACAGATGGTAGGTAACAGCCAGAATGGATCTTAGAACTTTCATCACAACTACCAGAAGACAGGTCTGTTCCTTCCTGCTGACTCTAAATCTGAAAGGGTGTGAGGCCAGAGTGACTACAGCCATCTGCCACCACGTTGGAAATAAAGCTGAGTGGTGGAAGGCAGAGGGAACAGGAGAGGAAGGGGCAGGGGCTTGGTTTAGATCCAGCCTGGCCCAAAGCCAAAAATGCTGCTAGACTTCTCAGCTCCCTGAACAAACACATTTCCTATTTGGCTGACGTCAGTCAGAGCAGATTTTACTCTGTTTCTATTGTGTGGCAAGGAGCTGGGTGTGCGTCTCACCTTGAGGAGGAGAGGGTACTTGCAGATCCGCTGGATGGGAGACAGCAGGTAGCCCTCCAGCGGGATGTCTGTGGTCTTCCGGCCTCCCAGAAGCATGCAGCTCTGCAAAGGGACAGGAGACCACTGTTAAAACTTGACGAGGACAGCACAAGGACATGGCTACCCTCACATCATCACAGGAAACGCTCTCAAACACAGCTGTAGACGGCACTCGGGATGCAATCTAGCAACCCCTAGGACGGGAGAAGGCGCTCATTCCATAGCACAGTGCAAAGCCAGCAGCTGGGCTTGGCAGACCAGCCTGTGCACTCAATCTTGCCCACTCCCTGACCCAGTAAAATCTTCTCGGGTCACAGCCACATCCGTGACATATCATCTATGCAGGCTGTAATAGGAGAGTTGAATAATTGCAACAAGGATCACAGAGTTGCAAAACCTAAAATATTTACTATCTAGCCTTTCACAGAAAAGCTGGCCAACTCCTGGTCTAGTGAAACTTCCCATAGCCACACCAGGAAACAGGGATGTGGATTGTCAAAACTGTCCAGTTTAGAACAGCAAAGAATTAGAAGCAACCTAAAGAGCCATTTACTGGAGAACGAAAAAATACATTTGTATTTTTAAGTCTGTTAGTAGCAGATTTATACAATGGTGCACAGAACAGCAGAGAAAATGGTAAATCAAGAGTCATCCATAAACCCTCAAAACTTACTACATCAAAAAAGAAAAACTGAGGGCTGGAGATTTAGCTCAGTGGTTCCGCTGCCTGCCTTCCAAGTGCAAGGTCCCGAGTACCAAAAAAAAAAAAGAAAAAGAAAAATTTTTAATTACATATGATACCCATTTATATAAATCGTTTTTTTTTCAGCACTGAAGATTGAGCCCAGGGTTGTGCTAAGTTGTCCGGGCTGGCCTCAAGCTTGTTATCCTCCTGCCTCAGCCTTCCGAGTAGCTGGGGTTACAAGTGTACACCACCATGCCCAGCTATATAAATCTTTTAAAGATGTGGAAAACAAAAGTAGGTATTGTTTATGGACAGCATATAAACAGTCCAACAGACATGTGTGGGGAAACAAAAGTACCAAATTCCAACAGGGGCCACCGCTGTGGAGGGAAGGTCATGGGGTCTGGAAAATGAGCTGGGAAGCTTCAAATGAAGCTGAAATTTTTTTCTTCCTTTACCTGGGAGACAGGCATGTGGGCGTTGTCACATGGATGCCTATACTCTGGCTTGCAGAGCGAAGAAGCGCAGCTCTATGGGGAATCCAATGCAGCTATCAGAACCGCTGAGCCCGCCCCGGCTCCCACCCACACCAATCAACTCTGCTCCTTTCCTCTCAGGGCCCCTCCAGCCCAGCCCTGTTGGCCCTGGGCATTCTAGACCCCCTGCCTAGAATGCTGTCTTCCCTCAATAATAATAAAAGTAATATCACTGCCACCATCATGCCCGCTGCCCTGTCAGGGGCACCAACTCTAATTCTGACCTACAGACTAAAACTTACTATTCTCCCTGCGTCACTGCTCCGACCTCAGGAGTCTGGAAGGTTCAGTCTCTCACCCCAGGCCAGCCCAGAACAAATGTGCCAGAGAGGTGGGACCCAGAGCCAGAGCCAGGCAGGCTGCCAAGGACCCTGGGCTTGGAATCCGCTCCCTGAGGCCAGCACCATTCCCCACCTTGCTCACAGTTCCCAGGACTCCTTCCTCCTGGAGCCTCCAGAGGAGATCAGCATGTAAATTACGCTGCAGGTATCACCCTCTCCTTTGGAAAGGGTCCAATGTTAAGAATCTATTTGTTGGCTGGTAGGAACCATGAGTTGCAAGTCTATGGCCCCAGCCAAGTGAAGTGATGCACACCTGTAATCCCAGTACTTGGGAGGCTGAGGCAGAAGGACTGATGAGAACTCAAGGCCAGCCTGGGCTACACAGTGAGTTCAAGGCCAGATTAAACTATACAATAAGACCCTGTCTCAAAAAACCAAAACCACAGGCTGGGGATTTAGCTCAGTGGTTTTGCCACCTGCTGCCCAAGCCCAAGGACCCGAATTCGATCCCCGGCACCAAAAAAAAAAAACCAAAACCAAACAAACAAACAAACAACAACAACAAAAACCCCAAGTCTATGGCCCAAGGTCCTTGGCCCCCAGGGCTCATGAGTGGCCAGTGTGGGCACAGAGGATGAATTAACAAACTAATGAATTACCAAATCAGTGATGAAGGTGGGGGTGGATCCTCAGTTTTCCTCCTCCACACCACCCTAGCAGACTGAAATGAATCAGGACTCCTGGGAAAGGGAATTCTCACACTGTCATTCATTCAAATCCACACTGTGTGCTTACCTCAGGCTGGGCACAGTTCCAAGCACTGGGGGACCACCCAACGAAACAGATTCTCTGCTTACATTCAAGTGGAAATAAGACCAGAGAACACTGGCTCCGGGGCCACCCCACGTGAAGCACTGTGCCTTGTGCCTCATTATATGGAGCACCCACACTCACGCCTCAGGTGGTACTGTTCCCTATCACCCAGGGGAAACTGAGGCACAGAGACCTGGCCCAATCTCACACACAGACTCCACTGCCCCTCAGAGGTTTGAATAGGCTCCCTCCTCCCAGAAACAGAATCCCAGGGACCCGAGTCCCTGCTCATAGCTCCCAACCCTGTGCATGCCCCTGGCACAGATGGGGCATCCAGGCTGTGGCAGCTGGGAGATGCCAGGCCCCACGCTGCTCACACTCAGGCCTTTGTCCTCCGAACCAGCACTCGCCACAAGCTGCCCTGGGTGATGTCAGCTCCGGGCAGAGAACAGGAGCTGGGGGTGAGGGGTGCTGTCCAGAAGCCTGGGGCTGGTGGGAAGAGGGCCGGCCTCTTTGTGCAGGACCAAGGGGTCTTCACAGGGCTGTCCCGCCACCAACCGCACTCCCCCACCAGACTCTCTAGATTGCTGTTTCGCTCTATTTTCATTTACAGGGGACAAAAGCAAACACTCACAGAGCTGCATTCATCACTCTCCTATTACCCTCCAGGCCCTGGGGAAGAAGTTCTGAGAGCGATCTCCTTCATCTTCCCACTTCACAGAACTAATTCAGATGAGATGGCAGCCTGGTGGCCTTGCCCACCTTCTCCTGGCATCATGCCCGGGCTGCCCTGTCTCCCTGGCTCCCTTCTCCTGGTGGACGCCACCCTGACCCGCAGCTTTAAACACCATCTTTATGCTGAGAGCACTCAGACTGCTTTCTCCAGCCTGGCCCCTTCCCAGACTCGAGCCCCCAACTGCCGGCCCAACACCCCCACCACCTGTCACCCAAGCGTCCTAACCCTCACACACCGCAAGGAGAACTTTTTATTTCCTCTCCATACCTGCTGCCGCCCCAGCCTTCACTGCCTGGGGAGAATGTCCTCCCATTTGTCTAGCTGTTTGGCCCCATATGAACTCCCCTCATTCATTTGTACCCCAAAGCGACTCTCATTGAAACTGTGTCAGCTGGGCCTTCATACTCCATGGGGGCTCAATTGCTGCTCCCACCGCTGACACCCAGTTCCCAGCCATCCCAGCCTGCTGCCTGGACTGGTGCAGTGGCCTGCAGGGTGTTCCCCCAATCGTCACCACGCCCACCCAGGCCTCAGAATGTGACTTTATTTGGAAAACAGGGTCTTTCCAAATATAAGCAGTTAAGATGAAGTTATACTAGGTGAGGGACCTAAATCCACTGACTCATGTCCTGATGAGAGGAAGAGACAAGGCAGGTAGAGAGGGCAGCAATGCTGCCACAGCCAGGGACACCCGAGGCCACTGGAAGCTTAGGAGAGAGGGCAGAGCTTCCCTGGAGCCCTCAGAGGGACCACGGCCCTGCCGACACCTTGATTTCAGGCTCCTGCCTCCAAAACTGTGCGAGAGTAGGTTCTGTTTAGGCCACCAGTTCGTGGCAATCGTGGGCGGCCCTAGGGAAGGATCTGGCTGCTCCTGCTCCCAGTCTCTACCCTCTCATGCCAGGAGGGTCTTTCCAAACTCCAAGCAGCTCAAGCCACTCCTCTGCTGCAGCACCCTATGGCTCCACCCACTGAGAATAACTTGGACTGTTCTCCAGCCGCACTATATGCTCCACTGCGGACCAAGCTCACAGCCGCTGTCCAGAGCAAAGGGCACCAGACCCGGAGTATCCTGTCTCATTCCATCCATACAGGTTCCCGGAAGAGGCAGAACCAAGCCTCAGTAAGAAAACCACCCTGTGGTTCTCATGGAGGCCGGGGGAACAGCAGGGATGGAGCACAAGGGAACCTTCTGGAGCCATGGAAATGTTCCGACTCTTGATCACCACAGTGGTCCCACAAGTGCAGCAGATTGACAGTCAACATTCTGTGAGCACACTGAGCATGAATGCTACACTTCAATTTAAAGTTTCAGAGTCTTTCCTAGAACTAAACCTTCCGCATTACTGACCTCTTTCAATCTCTCTGACCTCATCTCTCCCTCTTCCTCTCCAGTCTTGACTCTTGGCCTTCTTGCTGCTCCTCACACACACTCCTACCTCAGGGTCTTTGCACTGCAGTTCCTCTGGAATGCTTTTCCTCCAGATACCCCTGTGTCTCCCTCCACTTCACCTACATCTGTTTAAATGTCATCTAAAGCAGTTTCCCCAAACACCAATCTAAATCAGCCACCGTACCCCAGCTCCCTTAAAACATCCTGTCATCCTCTATTCACTTTATTTCCTTAATGCCACATGATGTATCACTTCAGTCTCCCCTACCAGAATGGCCGCTCCATGAGGACAGTGACATTTCTTGCCCTATCCACTGTTGGATCTGCAGGACTTTAGAATGATGACTGCCAGGTGACAGATGCTCCATAAGAAGCTGTTGAATAAATAAATGACTAAATCGACCCCATTTAATAGACAAGAAAATGGAGACGCAGAAAGCTGAAGTCCCTGGCCTGTCACTCAGCTGGTGCACAGCAGAGCATGCGTGGAAAGCCAGACTCTGTTCTCGACGCCTTCACGTCCCTTAACAGACTCACGACAGCTCTTTTGCAGTGGCCAAAAGCTGGGAGATGCAGCAAGGAGGGCGACAGATGGCATGCATGCTGGCACCGCACACACCCTCCCCCGGCCCTGCCAGCCCCACCCAGCTGCTGCTGGGAAACCGGCAGTTTGGCCCACCAGGAAGACTGCACAGAGAGAGGATGGAAGGAAAGGGAAGTCGAGCTCTTCCCATCCCATGCCCCTGTGCTCACCCTCCTGGCAGCTTTCTGCTTCCCAGAATCCAGCTGAGGCCAAAAGGAGGCCAAAGGTGGTGCTGCCCAAAGAGGGCAGGAATCTGGCCATCTCTGTCTGTGTGGAGCCTTCCACTAACAGCTTTTTCTTCGCATTCTGCCCACGTGATTTTATGAACTAAGCGCACAAATGTTAACGTGAAAGTTCAGAACAGGAGGAGTAAAAAGCCTCAGTCAACACAGCTTGGTATGTTCGAGACAAAAGTGGAGACCAGTTGGCCAATGTACCTCCCTCAGATGGTCACTAGAACAGGGCTGAGCAGCATGAACTCACTCCAGAGGGAGACTGCACAACATTCTGAGACAGACTCATGTAAGTCCTGTGCTGGAGACGGCACTAAAGAGAAGTACAGCTGGGAATTTCATTGTATCATCTAGCCCTCTCAGAACCTGCCACCACTCCTTATGCCATGTAATTTTAGCTGGTTTTGTGAGCTGTATTCTGTATGGGTTGATGGAAAAACAAACCCTATTACGGGCATGACAAGATGAGAGATATTTCAAGGTGAAAGACTAGGACTGGGACCTCATTACTTTTCAGGTGTAGATCTACTTAATATTTTGGAATCATCAAAATCCCCTTTGGCAAAGGCTATGAGGGGCCCCTCACTGTATTCATTTTCCATAGCAGTAGAATTTTCAGCTGGGCACAGCATTGACCAGAGTAAAGCCTACATTTCCCAGCCTTCCTTGCAGCTAAGTGTGGCCACGTGACTATGTTCTGGCCAATGAGATGTGAGCAGAAGAGATGTGTGCAGCTTTCTGTTGTGCCCTTAAAAGAAGACAAGTGTGCCCTCCTCACTCTTCCTGCAGCCCACCACCTGGAATTAGGATTAGGACATTGTGGGTTGTCATCTTAGCCTTGGGAGTGAGGACCACATCCTAAGGCCTTGATCCCTGACCCACCCCAGCTGTCTACAACCACACTGTCAACACAAGGGAGAAGTAAATGTTCACCTTGTTTAATAAGCCAATTATTTGTGATTTCTGCAAAGCAAGCAAAGCATAACTTAGCTCATACACACTGACAGTGGTCTGGAAGACTCAAAGTAGGTACCAAATGAGAACTTGGTTTATTCATAAGTGAAGTTCTCTGCAAGTGTGGAAACACCAACAGATAGCTACTGTTTTGTCTGACCATCGTCCATTCCCAGCTAACCTTCTTGCATTCCCACAAATGCAAACCAATTCTCCTTTTAGGGATCCATGCCACCCTCAAACCCCATGGTATGGGTGGATCTGACTCCACCATCCATCTCCAGAAGTGACTGATCAGAACATCATTCAACCCCTCAGCAACTGGTTGAGGGATTATGTTTTGAGCTAAGCTCAACCAATGAACATCAGATATAGGGTCTGCACTGTTACTATGGGGATAGAAAAGCTCTCTTTATCTTGAAGTTGCTCCAGTTGGAGAGGTCAAAGTGTGGAGATTCTGAAGGCCATGTTGCCACCACTTGAGAAGATCCTGCCCAAGAATGGCATCAAGAAAGAAAAAGCAGAGCCCAGAGACACATTCTTGATGACATGATTTAAACACCTAGACTCTGATGTGCCTGAAGTTCTTTAACTCTAAGGTCTTAAACTTACCAGAAAAGTGAACCAGTAAACTTGTTTTTGTTGTGGCTGCTCTGATTAGCTGGTTTAACTGGACTTTCTTTTGCTTATAGTTAAATAATTCTAACACTACTAGTCATCCTAATAATAATGGTAGTAATAATGATTACTACTACAGCTATCACTTTTATTAGCACCTTTACTTTGATGAGGAATTGGCGAAGTCAACCTTAATCCAGCCCTCTGCCTGTTTGGGCAAGTAAAGTTTTACTGGGACACAGGCATGCTTGTTCCTTTACATATTATTTTGGAAGCCAAATATTTATGGCTATAATAGCACGAGATGTGTTGTTGGCCCATATTGTACACAAAGCCAAAAATGTCCATTAGTCAGCCCCTTAAGGAAAAGCTAGCTGATCCCTGTTTTACAAAGGAGATGACCGCAGCTGAGGAAGGGGTGAGGGAGCACAGGCCAGCTGAATTCCTGAGGCTGAAGCCAAGGGCAGGGTGGCAGGGATCAGGGACTCACCAAAAGGAAGGCGCGCACCGTGGGGATCTTGTTGAGCTCCACCAGCAGCCTCAGGGCCTTCTCGTGGTTGCTACAGTATTCCTCGTACACGCAGAACTTGTCCTTCTGCAAGACAAGGAGAGAGCTCATGGGGCACAGCACAGCAGGAAGGCAGGCGCCCTTGAAGGACAAGACACCTAGGACCCTGGAGAAGAGGCCACAGAAGAGGGGAATACAGGAAAAGCAGCCCTGGCTCACTTCAGGCCCCTCAGCGTCCATTTCCCCAGGTCTGCATCTGGCAGCTCAAGAAACATTTAGGGAAGCAGTACAGACCAGGCCAAGCTGCTTGGGCTTCCGTCTGGCTCTGCATTTCCTAGCTGTGAACTTGGGTGAGTCACCTCTCCTCCCTATGCCTCAGTGTCCCCAGTGGTAAGGTAGTATTAAAGTTGTGGAGTTTTTATGGTGAGGGGACAGTTCTGTTGGCCTCCATATGCCCCTGAGCCCAAAGCTGGACTCTTTCCAGTCTAAAGATCACTTGAGGGTCCCCAGGTCCATAGCCATCAGTCATGGTTTCCGGAACTGGAAGGGACAGAAGCCTCCTTAGCAGGAAGCTCTCAGCTGAGTGTTCCTAGTTCCAAAAGGCTTACAGACCGGCCAAACCCCAAACAAGGATGTCCTGGGGGAGGCCCTGGGGAGGAAGGCTGCAGTGCCTGGACCTGGGCTGGGACAGGCAAGAGAGCCCGAAAAGCTAAGGAAGGAAGGGGTGGGTCTGCAAAGCCAGCAGCTTGTCTTGTTCCTAAACAAGCCCCCAGTCAGTCTTCTGATGGGCAGCTTCAGGAAGGAAGAAACCAAAGAGGAGGAGGGAGCCGCATTCCAGAGTCAGTAAGCACCCTAGGCCACCAACACCCAAGCCAGAGCTGATGGCCACACCCTGCTCTCCTAGAATGAAGGTAAAAACATTTACATCTCGCCTTAACCACACATGGTCAATACTGCAGGGGACCCCCTTACACATGGACAGACCAAGGACAAGTCACTTGCCAAAGGTTTTATAGCCACAGGCATAGCAGAATCAGGATTATGGCATGGGTCAGAGAAGTAGGAAGCAAATGCCCAGCATATAAATCTTCAATCACAAATTCCCAGACTAAGCTCCAAGGGGCATTCAGCAGAATGGTGAAGCAAATCCAGCTGCACACACCCTAAGGAGGAGGTGACTGGGGCAAGTTGACTCCCCTCTCTATGCCTCAGTTTCTTCATCCATGAAATGGACATAAGAACAGATTCAACACTTGGGCTGCTAGAGGACAACATATGTGTAAGACGAGTAGAAGAGTCCCTGGCCACAACAAGCACATAGGAAACTTCAAAATACTAGGAACACAGTTGACAAACATGACCCATCAAGGGAAAATGCCAAAACAAACAGCATCACAATAATACAAAGCATAGCCAGGCGTGAGGACACACCCCTGTCATCCTTGCACTCTGGGAGGCTGAGGCAGGAGGATGGGAAGTTTAAACCCAGCCTGAGCAATTGGTGACTTAGGAAGATTCTGTCTCAAAAGGGGGAGAGGAGGCTGGAGATGTAACTCAATGCAAAGGCCCTGGGTTCAATTCCCAGTAGCACAAAAAATAAAACAACCCAAAATGCATGCATACACACAAACACACACACACACACACACACACACACCCCACAGGACCAACAAACATGACAGGCACTCTAAACCCACCCAACCACCTGAAGCATCGCTGCATATAAGCTACATTTTCCAAACACTACCTCACACACAGAAACACACACAATCATGAAGTACAACTCCCTCACCCAGGCTGTGCAGTCCACCCAGAGGCTGAAATATAAAAGCAAGGACAGGTAAGAAAAACAGTGCACCCTCAGCACCTCCACAAGGTCCAAGCAGATCTTTTCCATTTTTGTGGGTCTCATATAAGCCCTGGGGACCATAATGGCCAAGGGAAAGGGGTGAAGGGACATCAGGACCACAAGGCCTCAACAGTCACACCAAAGATCACAGGTAGCATGGAGGAAGTGGGAGGGACCAAGTGGGAGGAATAGGAACTGGCTGCCTCAGGAGCTGCTCAGCAGAGGACCCCTGCAGAGAGAGGGGGAAGGCTGGACTGAATGCAGGTAGTGAACAGTAGTAAGAGGCCTCGACCCATGGAGAAAGTGACCACAGCCAAGACCCTGGGTGTCCTCTGGGCCTACTGACCCCACTGTTAGTACTGCACTGAGCTGAGACACCAAAAGCCCCCACAGCCACTCTCACCATCTGCCATCAGTGGATTTGACACCAAGCACACATTCTGCGGCCAGACCACCCTCATACCTAGCCTGACTCCCCTGGTCCCCAGCTCTGTGACCTCGGGCTAGATAAGGCAAGTTTCTGAGCCTCCGCACTGTCATCTACAAATCATGGACAGTAATGGCATCCTCATCATAAAGCTGATGAGCGAGCACTGGCAGATGAACTTATATCGAGTGTTTAAAACAGTACATTGTAGAACCCAGCTGGTATTACACTGCACGTTCATGTCGCTGTCACCATCATCCTCACTGTTATTATTTCAGCAAACTCATGGGTGAATTGATCTGTGACAGGGTACGGCACGGGATGGGTAGGTTTCGATGGCAAGAAATGAGGCAGAGTCAGGAGGGAGGTGGGCAGCTGGGAAGTTGGGGTCTGGGAAAGCAGCAGGCCTGGACGGTGGGATCTGTGTCTCATTGCTGTGTGCCCCATCTTTCCCAGGTCCCCAGACGGGGCCTCCATGGGACAAGGTCTAACTCTCTTGAGACTGGCACAGTGGTGCCTGGCAGACATGTGGCGCCATGACTAGTTGGTGAATGAAACCAAAAGAGCAGAGAGCGGAAGGGAGAGGAGCCGAACAACCCAGCCTCATGCTTCGTCCATTGGTCTAACCAATCAGAGAGCTCCCTGCCCTGCCAACAACGGCCACATGGCCCACACTGGGGTAGCAAGAGCCCTCATGATGGAATTATTGGGAAGGGGGCCTCTGGCTGAATTGTTGAGGAGCTGAGAGTGTCAGCCCAGAGCTGCTGAGAGCTATCTTACGCACGTGTGAGGCATGTATCCCATAGACCACCACCACCCTCCAAGAATAATGAAAACCACGGCACGGGAAAACAAAGCCCAGGAATGCGAAAAAATCAGGTCCTGGAGACATCATATGGGCTCTTGGATCCAGCTATGCCTGAAGCTAGCTCATCTCTCTGAACATTTCATTTATACGCACCCCAAAAAGTCCTTTCTTGTTTAAGCCTATCTGAGTTGGCATTTTCATCAATTACAGTGAACATACCTCATTACGGCACATTCTGAAAAGGGGAAGAAGATGAAAAACATTGACCCAAGTTCCACCTGTACTGCAGCGCGACTGGGCTGGGAAGCAGAGACAGACCTGTTTCCTCTCACACACTAACCCCAATTGGTGGGTTGTGCTAGCTGAGACACTTCTGACAAGGAGTCTGGAGCCCTACGGGCCTAGGGTCAGAGGCTGTGACCAGCTAGTGATGTCTGCCTACAATGCGTGAGAAGCGAGTGACAAGATGCCTCATTCCCCGAGATCCTTCTCTGACACGGTTTGCAACGTCATCCTCTTCTTCAGCTTGAGGAAAGGGCCGGGACCCTAGACTTGAGGCCTGGAGACATCAAATTCAGCAAATGGACACTGCCCCAGCTGTGCCTCAGGCCCGGGGGCCCTGAACAGGTCCACAAATGCTGCTTTGACAGCTACAAGTCCAAGTGTTCCATGTCCTCCCCAGGCCACGTGGGGGTGTGAATGGGCACCAGGAAGAAATGGACACACAGTTGTGCACTCACAGGTGTGGTGGGTGGGGACCATGTGGCTGTGGGTTTGGGGTGCAAAAAGCAGCAGTGGACAGTTGCCAGCTGGGGACAGCGGGGAGGAAATCTAGCCCCCCGGGGAGAGGGGGAAGGTGAGAATTGTCAGAGTCGTAGCTGCTATTCACAGTGCCTGGGTGGCGACAATGGCTCTGTGGGGACCACCTGCTTTGACCCACTCATTTCACAGCCAGAAAGACTGAGACCAGAGGCAGGAAGTAGCGGGCAAACAGGCACCCCCTCCAGCAGGGAGGGGACAAGAGGCAGGTGCCGGCCCTGCGAGGTCTCCCCTACCTGTCACTGACCTATCCTCCCAGCACAGGGAGCGGGTGAAACACGGTCAGCCACCCCACTACAGCCCACTTCTGTGCTGAGGCCCCAGTGGCCTCCTGTGACTCTCAGAACAAAACCCACGCTCCTGGCCTTGGCCACAAAGCCCACGACACCCTGACCTCTCTCCACAGCACCTCCCTTCGGCCCTCTGATGTGCCAAGTTTGTTCCCAGCTCAGGGCTAGGGCCCTCTCTTCTCTCCATCTGGACCACCCCTCCCGAGATCATCCGTGTCACCTCCTGGGAGAGGCCATCTCTGTGTGGAGATGACACACACAACACAGGCCACCCAGCTGGATGCTGATTTCAGACGCACAACAAAAACCATGTATGTATGTCCCAAATAGTGTATGAGATGTACTTAGGTTAAAAACTTGTGTGATGTTTACCTGAAATTAAAATTTATTTGCATGTCTTGTGCTTCTATTTGCTAGGTGTAGCAGTCCTGACTTCTCCATTTAAATCAGCCCCAGGCACAGTCACTCTTGTGTTTGTCACAATCCACACAGCCATCTGAAATGACCTCGTCTGCTAACTTACCCTCCATTCCTCAGCCCGTGAGTCTGCCAGCAGCAGAGAGCAAGTCTGTACTACTCTGTGCCTGCCATTTGGCAGATGCTTACTGTGGACTGCAGGAGACTTTATAATGTAAGATGCCAGAGCCTCAGTGTCCAGCCTTCATCCCAGCTCTGACATTACTAGCTATGCAAACGTGTGCTATAATTGAATCTGGCCTCAGTTTCCTCATCTGTAAAACAGGTACAATTACAGTACCCACTGCTAAAGGGTGTTGTGAAGTTTTAATTAATATGTGTAAGCACTTAACATAGTACCTGGCACAAAGGACAGTTTCTTGGTGCTAGTTTGTGATAAACTCTGAGATAGTGGTTAGCTTTGGGGGTAAGGAGGTGAGGGCTTCTCCTCGTCTGCTGGCCAGGGCGGCACCACTGGGCAGGTCTGTGAGCCGAGCCCATCCTCCCTGGACAGGCTGTATACACAGCTGTGCTCCCATCACCTCTCCCCAGCCAGCCCAGCCGCTGCCTCACTGGCCATGGGAAAGCACATCCAGCAGGCAGTTGATGAGGCCTGAGAAAGAGACTGGATTCGGGGCCTCGTTCCTTTGGGCTTGGAGTGGGTGACATGGTGCACAGTGTAGATAGACCCCATCAGTGAGGGCAGAGGCATCCATTCCTCCAAGCGTGGCACCTCCAGCCCTCAGCTGAGTCTCCCCAAGGGACCCACTCCTGGGGGAGTCCACGCCCTGACCTGGGCAACACAGGTGCCAAAGCCCAGCCCCCTTCCTGCACCTGTGTGTACCCCCAGGCCTTCCAGCCCTAGGATCCTTCGGGGGGCCTCAGGGGAGGCAGGTGGAGCCCTGCAACTTCGCCATCAGCTGCTCTACGAGGCCACCACGCTGATCTCCAGCCTTCAGAAAGAGCCTGCCACAAGGGCTGCTGTTCAAACTCCTGAGACAGAATGACTCAGGGACATCCTCCGTGAGCACGGGGGCAGAGGGGCTGATTTTAAATTTTAAATTAAAAATATGATTTCAAATGAAAAACACTGACTCACACGGAGAAAGCTGGCTCCTTTGTCAACTGTCACAATTAGCTCAAGGAGACTCAGAAGGAGTGACATGACAGGTCCATGGCAGTCTAACGCTGGTGGGGCTTCCTCTTAAAGAACCTGAGGGCGGGACTGGCACTCAGAGGCGGGTGGGCAAGAGTTTGGGACAGAACGCAGTGACAGAATTTGGGATCTATGCATTTGTTCTTAGGAGGACTTTCTATTTATAGCGAGAGACATTTTCCATTTCCATTTTCTAATTTCAATAATGAAAATTTGCCTTTTAAGTTTGTTTAAGGTTTCTAAGTGAGTCAATCTTTAAAGGATTAAACAAATAATACAAGGGGTACAGAGACAGCAAAAGTTACACAGGCAGCACACGAATCAATCTGACCTCTGGCTTTGCCTTTAGGTTCCAAGTCCAGCTCTGCCACTTGCACAGCCGTGTCACCGGGCTTAGCCTTCCTCGGTTCCTTGGGTGAAGCCCCACTTCTGATATAGAGATAGGACAGTGCACATGACAAAGTCCCTCTCCTCTTGCTGCTGATATTCCAGAGGGAGACACGAAAAACAGAGGAGCAAAACATCTACTAAGTGAGATGGGAACAAGGACAATAAAGAACACTATCTAGAGGGGTGCAGGAGGGCAGAGCCCCCCATCTTCCAACAGGTGGACCTGAAAGGGCTCACAGAGAAGGGCATTTGAAAAAGATGTTGAGGCAGAAGGAGAGCGCAGGGAGTGGGGGGAAATGGCACTCCGAGGCCTCTGGGCAGGCTCGCCGCATTCCAGAAGAGCAAGGGGCCTGGCGTGGCCAGGCAGGAATGGAGGTCCCACGTGTGGAGCAGACAGGCCAGCAAGGGTGTGGGGATTACTCAAGCATGGGGAGCCTTTGGAGGGGCATGTGGCCCAGCAAGCCCAGGCAGGGGAGACCGTGCACACAGTCAAGCCCCAGAGGACCAGGCTGTGCCAGAGGGCACTTATGATATGCCAGCTGCTATCACCTTGATCGATTCTCTCAAGCACCCTAGAAGGTGGGTTCCAATCCGTGTTTTACAGATGAGGCCACTGAGGCACAGAGTGGTCAGGGCCTTCGCCCAGAATCAGAGCCAGGAAGCAGCAGGGTCCAGTGCAAAGCCAGGCAGCCAGGTTCGAACATCCTGAAGCTCAGGGTGCAGACAGGGGATGTCTGGGTCCTCAGGATGCCGGGCGGCTGCTCCACCAAGCACAAAGTCTGCCCGACCCAAATGTTCCCCTGGGATGAGGGCACTGACCGGCTGGAGAACGCGCCAAGAGGGTCCGAATGCACCACTGACATCGCGCCCCAGGCACGGGCCATCGCCTCCCGCCCAGCCTGGTGCTACCTCTGCCCAGATGCCCACAGCACTACTCAAGGGGCATCAGCTCAGGCTGGCCCAAGGGCTTCACTCAAATTAACCCTCTTCATCCTCAAGGCAGCCCACATGGCAGGTGCCACTATGTCTCCATCTCACAGAGCTGAAGACTGAGGCCCCGGAGGCAAGGTGACCTGCCCAAGGCTGCTCAGCTGCTCAGCAGAACCAGGGTTCCTGTTCTGAACAGAAACCCTGAGCTGGCCTCCCTGCTCCCCTGCTCCACAGCCAAAGGGCCCTTCAGACCCGAGCAGACGCCCTCTCTGTGTCTCTCCAAGGGGGACCTCAAAGCCCCCCATTAGCGCCACTCCGCATCACAGTCTCCTGCGTGTCCCACCTCAGGCACGGAGCTGTGTGCCCGAGCTGTCTGAGCACTCTCCCGGTATTAGCTCCCTTACTCCTCACCACACATGGTGAGTTCACACCATGTTCCCATCCTACAGGCGAGAACACTGAGGCACGGACACACTAACACAGCCAATGAGCAGCTCAGCAGCCAGGAGCAGCACCTCCCCCCCCGCCAGGTCACTACCTCCGGGCTGTCACTTCCTGAGGGCAGGGCTACCCAGGCCCCAGCATCCTGGTCTCTGAGCATCAAGAGGAGACCTGGACAGGGAGGCGGCGGTGACGATGGTGGTGACAAGAGCAAACGACAGCCAAGCGCTTTCCGTGTGCGTCCAGGCTCAGCCTCGGCACTGCTGCCACAGAGGCCAGACAGTTCTCTGCTGTGGGGTGTCATGCACACTGAAGGGTACCTGGTGGCAACCCTGGCCTCCACCCACTGGAAGCCTGAGCATCCCCCAGGAGATGTGACCCAAAAAATGGTCTCTAGACACTGTTCAGTGTTCCCCGAGCAGAATCTCACACACACACACACACACACACACGTACACATACACTCACACGCTGCAGAACCACGCTGTCAGAAAAGCACTCTGGTGTTTTTCCTGAGTCTTCCCATCAACCCGAGGGGGTGGGCGTGAGTCTTCCTGCTTCTCAGCCAGAGGACAACACTGAGGCTCAGAGGGGCAGTCCGCCCAGAGTTTCTGGCCTGAAGCTAAGGTGGGCTTCTCCCCCTGTGGAGAGGGTCCCAGAAGCGCAGGACGAGAAGGTATGGAAAGCAGTGGCCCTGGGAGGACTAAGCCCCACCATTCCCAGGGACCTAGGAACCCCACGGGAAGAGTGAGGTGAGGGTGACAAGCACTGAGCGGGCACCGAGCATCAGCCACCTCGTTGGCCAGTGGGTGGCCAAGCTTAACTGAAGCCAGGTCCGTCTGATGCTAAGTCCACCCCCTCACCACTGGCTGCCTCTGTGGTCATTCTGAGGCACAGGGGTCCTCTGGGACCATCATTCGACAAGAAGTCACACTCCACATCACACTGAGAGAAGGGATAAGCAGCTAAAATCTCCCACAGTCTGCAGGGCTAACCCTCTTCCTTTCGTCCCAGGGTGCAAGGCTGGGGTGCTGCCCACATGGCCAGTCCCTCTCCCGACAGCCCCAGGGACTGGGGTGTTATACTTACAAATTTCAAGAAAACATTCCCGAGTTCATGCTGAGACTGAGGCTCCGGGTGTAGACAATATTCCAGGGCAGCCAGGAAATCCTTATGAACTTCCAGGATGTCTTCAATGTTTGAGAACAGGATCTGCGAGCAAACATGAGGCCAAGGACAGTGTCAATCACGGCTTAAGCCACACATATGTCTGGGGCTGCAGATCAGGGGTACAGTGCTTGCTAACATATGAAAGGACCCAGGTTCAAGCCCCAGCCCTGCAAGATGAGGAGGAGGAGGAGGAGGAGGAGGAGGAGAAGAAGGGGGAAGAAATAATTCCCAATGCAAGTAACCTTATAGCCAAACAGGCATTCGCAAACACTGCAGCCTGTTTGCCATTCATAAAAATAATTATGGCAGAAATATAACCAACATTAATTTACTAATCAGGATGAATGACTGATCCCACGCTAAGAACGTTATGTTCTGTTATGGCATTTAATCCTCACTAATCCTCCACGAAGAAACTATTCTGGTCCCCAGTTGATCAATGAGGAACTGGGGCCCAGAGAAAAGAAGTAACATTCCCAGATCCACACCACTCAGCAACCGGCAGAGAGGGAAGAGCTTGGTGTGCAGACATCCGTCACACCTGACACCACTGTGTGTCCAACCCCAGGGCTGGTCTGTGCCGATGAGCACCTTGCACACACACGTGGCAATGACATGGTGCAGGGAACACACATAAGGAAGGATTCTGAAATGCACTCTTCAAACCGTCACACAGTATATGAGACTGTCTGGTCCCTTGATTCAATCTAAACATTTTATATGCACAGATTATTTGATCTGGAAACTCTATATTTTATTTGCTTTTTTTGTGTGAGACAGGGTCTCATGATGTCTTGGACACATGATGATCCTCCTGCGTCAGTCTCCTCAATGCTGGGATGGCAGGTGCACACCACCTCGCCCGACTCTACATCTTAGAACTGAACCATTTCCAGCTAGGGGAATTTTTGCCACAGCAGACGTGTGCAGCATTTGGAAACTTTTCTGGTTGTCACAAATTGGGGGTAAGGGAGGTGAGAGCTACTGGTGTTCACCCAGGCTGAGCACACTGCTGAAGCCCCCAGGGTAGCCAGGACAGCCCGGCCATAGAGAAGTGCCAGGCCCGAGCTCAAGCAGCCCTGAAGGTGAGGACTACACGCAGGCCCTGCAGCCTCCTTGGCAGAAACAAAACATGGCAGACAGCCAAATGCCTGTCTGCAGGGACGGGTTAAGTTGAAGTTAAATGAATTCCACATGCTTGGAAGCTATGCAGGCTGTAAAAAGAATCTGTACGTCTATATTCATGGATATGGAAACCTATAATGATCCTCAGTACATACTGCTAGGTGGAAGAAAAAAAAAAATCAAGGTTCTGAACAGGGTTCCATTGTGGGCTTATTTGTTTTAAAAGAACACCAGAAAATGCCAGTCCTACCTATGCCGGTGGGAACACAGACTTCTTGGATAACTTAGCAATTATAGGGCCTCTGGGGAGGACTAAGAGATTTTCTTTTTATTTAAGGTGTGTTCAAACTGCATAAATTCCAGTTTCCTTTTGTTTAACAGGTACATTTGAAATTTAAATTGCAAAGTGCTCATGCAGTTCAAAAATCAAACACAGTAACATAAACACAGGGAGACGTCTCTCAACCAGTCAGAATTTACTGAGCACCTACTATGCACCAGGCCCAGTGAGAGCCCAAGTCCTGCCTCCATGCAAGCGACACTCCAGTGGAAGGAGACGGGCAACAAAGAAGTTAAATAAGTTTCTGAGGTGGCAAGAAATAGTGAGAAAACATAAAACCGCAGCCTCAGGACAGGGCAAGTGGCGATACCAACAAATCTAAATAACTGTGTCTGCCAGGGACAGGCACGCCGAGAAGGTGACATGTGGGTCGGGCAGGACCTGAAGGAATGAAGCCCAACCCCAAGGGCCCTTTGGATACACGAGAATGTCTATGGAAGGGGACAACCTGAGGGTGGCCAGGGACAGCCCAGGAGCTGGAGTCCACCCACTGCTGCCAGTCTGAAGGAGTAATGACCAAAAACTAAAAATAACAAATATCCATCTACCAGAGAATGGATATGTAAACCGTGGTCCATTCATACTCTGGAATACTACAGAGTAATGAAAAAGTATGAGCTGGGGCTACACACAGCAAAATGGGCAAATTTCACAGGCGTCCTGGTGGGCAGGGAACACTAGACATGAAGGAGCTCACTTGACATATAGTTCAAAAACACACAAAACAATCAATGGCCCCAGAAGCCCATGTTACCTTTAAGGAGGGAGGGCTGGCCAGGAGGGCACAGAGGGGCCTGATGGGGGCAAGAAACCCTCCCTGCCTTCACTTGGGCCATGGTCACCCAGGTGTGGTCATGTGACCACCACACACCCACACTTAGAATTTGTGCCCCTTACTCTATGGCAATCATTCCTCATGAAAAAGGAAATCTCTTAAAAACTTAGTTGCAATTTAAAAGTATAATAAAGAACTTTTAAGCTATAATAAGATGGAATAAATAGAATAAACAATAGGTGTTCAGTAAATACTTGCTGAATAAATGAGTGAATGCATGAATACATAAAGAGCTTAGACCCTAGAGTGTCCACGTGGGTGTGTGCTAGCGGGCACACACACACACACACACACACACACACACACACAGGCGTGCGTCCCCACAGGACCAGCCATGCAATGATACCCTGATGTCTCTGGGCTCAGCTTTCCTACACTAAGAAGTGGGCCTCGAACTAGCCAGAGACAGAGGTATGATGGACTAGGACGTGGGGGGTCCTGCCTGACCAAGTGTGCTGGGCACTCAGACACCCACACCCTCGTTTTTCCATTCCCCCTAAGACCAGGACCTTTGGGGGACCGAGGACGGAAACACAACTTCCCAGGGAGCAAGGTCACTCTGACAGCCAGGCCCAGGCGGGGCCTCCACTGGGCACACAGAAGGCTCATTGATGCCCTCCTCAGACTGCCAGAGGACTACCCAGCCAAGAGAAGCCAAGTCCGATTACTCACCAGCCGGCCTTGACACAGTGCAGGGCAGAGAGTGCATCTGGGGTGCCAGGCTCCCCAAGCGCACGAGGAAGGATTTTCCACTGGCTCTAACCCAGGGGGCTGGACATGAGGAGGTGGGAATGAGGGGAGCCTCGCTAAGCCCAGAGCGGAGGTCTTGCGCTGGGGCAAGACCTGGGGCTGACACCACTACTGTCCACCACCTCTGGGAGAGGGGCCTGGGGGCTGCAGGGGTGGTTGGGGAAGGCAAAGCCAGTGGCCAGGAGTGATGCGCCTCCCTGTCCCACCCATCCCTGAGCATCGCCTGGGAGGGCCCCGGCGCCCCCGGCGGTGATCACTGGCAAGGGGTCAGCCCAAGGGTCCCCACCTTGACGTTCTCCTCCGTGAGGCCCTTCTCCACCAAGTCCGCCACATTCTGCCGGATGCGGTGCAGGAACGCCTAGGAGAGAAGCAGGAGAGGTGAGCACCCACAATGCACAGGAGAGGCACAGATTCGATGCCAAGCAGGACCTGAGAGGCGCCCCACCTAGGGAATCAGTGGGGGCTGAAGACTTAGTTTAGTCTTTGGCCTTCCCTCCACCAGGGAGCTCGCCCTCAGGGAGCCTGAGCCCAGAGGAGCACAAGCACCCTCCGTCCCCACCTATAGCCCTTCATGGGCTGCAAGTGATCTTCCCTTTTCCATTTCTTTCTCCTTCTTCTTCAAAATTGAACCTCCAAACTAAAACATTCACATGGCTCAAAAGACAAAAACATGCAAAGTCTCTCTCCTCCGCCTGGCCTGGTCTACTGAGTGCTCCCCGTACCTGTGAGAACCACAGCTGCTCGCTTCAGCTTCTGTCCAGAGACTCTGTATGCAAAATACATGCACATCAGTGTGTTGAGACACAGACACACACATACACACACACACACAGAGACACACACACACAGACACACACACGCACCCCTTCTCATTTTTTCTTTCTTTTTTTGTAGTACTCACCAAGTCACTAAATTCCCCAAGCTGAGCTTGAACCCGCCTCAGTCTCCCAGAGTGCTGGGATGGCAGATGCACCATCCCACTCAGCTTCAGTCTGTCCTCTTTTTATATAACATAAAAAGCCAGTGTGCACAGGAGGCCCTGTTCCTGCTGCGCCCGGCTCACACTGCAGAGGCCCTCCTGTCTTTCCAGGAGCCCCTCCTGCCTTTGGGCAGCTGCCAGGGACCCACCGTAGGGATGGCTCAGGACCTCCTGCTACCTCCCAGAGAGAGCACCCCCCACCCCGTGAGAGGCACAGCATGGCAATAAACGGGCAGAACAGTGGGCATCATCTCGGAGCAGCCATTTGCCCCCTTCCAGCTGGCACCACCTGGAAAGGCGGCAGCCAAGTATCACCTCATGTTCTGATTTAGGGGAGGGAGGCAGAAATTAGGATATTTTTCAGCACAGTCTTCCAGTTCCAAATGTCGATGAAAGAGCCTGGTTATGGGGAAAAGAACGATTTTTAGGGGTTAAGTGTAAGGGGGTGCATTGTAGCAATGAGAGATGGCCATGGCCTGGCCCCGTGAGCGGGCAGGACAGGGTGGGCCAGGGGATGAAATGAAAGATGGGGGGCTGCTGACACCTAAGGGAAACCGAGGCCAGCAGCAACCTCTGCCTGCTTTGCTCCAATAAGTGGGGCCCGGCCCAGGCTGACCTGGCCATACTGGCATAGAGACCCCTGGGAAAAGGGGTCCCTGGACCTGTCACAGCCACAGGGATACATGAACACTACGGTCTGCCAGCCACCAGCCCTGCCAAGACTGCTTAAGCCAGGGGCTGGAGTGAGCCACCCGGTGAGCACATGGTCACGGAGCCGGCTGCAGGAGAATCAGGAACTTGTCCTGTCCCACACGCTTGTCTGGAGAGATCTCTGCATGCTGGGGAGATGGCTAGAGCAGCCCAAGACAGCCAGGAGTGGGGGGCAAGGCAGGTGGCAGAGGAGACCCCCAACAGTCAGCTGTCAGATCCTTTCTGTCCCCCAGAGTGACACCCATGGGGGCACTCCACAGACCCAGCCGCTGGCCAGCCTCAAGCCTGCTAGGACAGGCATGCTGGCACTTCCCAGGGCAGGTCCCGAGCGAGCTGGGACACAGGAAGGCAGTCTTGTCTCTCCACACTCAGCACTGGAGACCACCCCAGTTTACTCCCCCAGCCTGGGCTCCTCCCCTGGAACCCAGGCTCATCTCCAGCTGCTGCCTCAACATCCCCTGGGGGCCCAAGGGGTACCTTCAACTTGACATTTCTATAACCTAATTCCAAATTTCCCCGCCAAGCCCGCACTGCCTGATCCTCCCCACCTGGTTAATGACACCTGTGCCTTCCAGGGCCCCCAGCCCAAACCCCCAGTTGCCCTCAAGCCCTCTCCTGGCCCAATCCTCAGCAAATGCTGTCCCATGTGCCAGTCACTGCTGCTGTCCCTGCAAACAGAAGGCCTCCCATGCACCTCCTGCGGATCAGCAAATGCAATCTGCTTTACCTGAAAAACTCCATCACTTCTGGCCTGCATGGCCACCATCCAACCACCACTCTCTCCAGCCTGGAACAACAGTCACCTCCTTCCTGGTCCCCCACACCCTCCCAAAAGTGTATTCTATGCACCTACAGCCAAAGGAGTCCTTTTAAATATATAAACCAGATCCTGTCAATCGACTGACTAAAACTCTCCACAGCTTCCCTGTATACTTAAAAAAGAAAATCTAAATCCTTCCACAGTCCATAAACTCTCCATTACCTTGTCCTTGCTAAGCTCCCTGGCCTCACCTCGAAACACTCCATCTTTCCACATGTCACCAGTCTTCAGCCAAACCTATTCCCACTTCAGGACCCTTGCACGTCATTCCTGCCGACAGGATGTTGCCCCCCATCTACCCTTACCCAGCTTCCTTCTTATCTATCAGGCCTTGGTTCAAATGTCACCTCTTCCAAGAGACCCTTATTCCCTTCTTGTATTATGGGCTCATTTGACAAAAAGATGAGAAAACTGAATTTAAGCAAATCTATACCTACTATTGGATAGGCCAAGATTAGAAGAAATCCTGGCTGAGATGAAGCCTTAATTCCTAATCCAACCAGTGTGGATGGTAGGTTTGGAAACTTGTGGATTTAGGTTTAAACCACAGACCTTCTTCCTGCCGGCTGTGTGACCTCAGAAAGGTGTACCAACTTCTCTGAATCATAGACTGCCCATCCCAAATATGGGGATCATAGTAATACCGTGCCTACGTTTCAAATATAGTAGGATAAAGAGGAAGGAAGCTCTAGGAAAACAAGGGCCTTGCCTCTCGTTCACAACTCGATCCTCAGGGCCAACAGCAGTGCCTGGCACACAAAAGACACTCAGAAATCACAGGAAGTAAGGACTGCACCTGGTGTAGGACCTGACACATGGCAGGAGTCTGCTGATCTTGCTTTTGAGAGGACGGCAGTGAGAGGGGACAGAGGCCAGGAGTTCTTCATGGATGTCTTAGCAGGGCCTAGGACACTGACGGGAAGTCCAGTCTCCAGGGCCCACCCTCCCCAGACAGCAGAGAGACAAAGGCAGCCTTGCCAGTGCACTCCCACTGGCCTAGATGGGGCTTCCTGTCCTGGTTTTTCCACTGGGAGCTCAGCCACCACTATTGTGCTGGGACAATGGGAGGCTCAGGCCACCCAGAGAGGAACTGCAAACAAGCCAGCATGATGGCAGAGAGCAGCTCCTGACCACAGAGAATGGGCCGGCAGGGGCTCTGGGCCCAGCCCTGAACCCAACACCCCAGGCACAACTGGCTTTTCCAGGCCACCAGTGTTGGCAGGCTGTTAAAAGACCCTCTATCGACTCTTTGTCCAAAGCTTGACAGCTCTGGAAAGCTCAGACCCACGCTGCTCTCATTCTAGAAACTGGCCTTAGACCTGAAACCATCCTTGGGTTTCCAGAGCTGCCCAGAAGCTATACTCAGCCTCAGATGCTCGGTCCACGCCTGGATCACTCACCCCCACCTGCCCCTGCCCAAGTCGAAGAAGAAGAAGAAGAAGAGGAGGAGGAGGGGGAGGAGGAGGAGGAGGAGGAGGAGGAAGAAGAGGAAGAAGAAGAAGAAGACGAAGATGACGACGACGACAAAGAAGACGAAGAAGAAGAAGACAACGACGACGAGGACGACGATGACGACGACGACGGAGGAGGAGGAGGAGAAATGCATCCAGGATACAGAAAAAGAAGGAAATAACAACCACCCACAAGCTTGTCACTATTCGATTTTGGCAAATCTTAACATGATGTCAAGTTTTCTTGACACTGGCAAAAGGAAATTCCTCATGTCCAAGACAGGGAGGTACAGACCAGAAAGGGGCATGCAGGGTCCTTCTGGGGGAGCTGGATGAGTCTATCTCCCGGGCAGAGCTGTGTTGCTCTGGTGATTGTGTAAGCAGGCAGCATACACTGGTAAGCTCGCTGTACCCACATCACTATGTGAGTATCGAACCCCAGTGTAGAAAAGAAAGGCGATGCCACTAAGGGTGAGCCACCCATGCAACGTCCACCCTGCCAGCTACCCGCGCCTGGGGACAGGTTCCCACACATACCTGTGCCAGTTACCACACCACTTGCACCTCTAAGCAACACAGAATAGTGCTCTGCATGTTCCAAGATTGCTACAAGTGCCTGCTTCCAGCCACCTGCTTTTCTTGCCCAACATCACTCTCCCCGGTTTATCCACTCAATTCGCACACAGGACAGCCCATTCTGTGCCAGGTCCAACTGCCAGTGGTGTCTCCTGCTGGAGTGCCCTCTCCCGCACACAGACAGATGAGGAAAGGGTGCCAGGAGCACTCTCGGCCTCCCTGTGACTGCTGAGAGCCTACTGGGGTGGGGCAGGGTCCCTGCCTTGCTGCCACTCCCACCACTTTATCCTGCCTGATAGTGCTGCCATGATCCTCAGTCTGGGGAGTGTAGAAGATGCCATTTCCCCAAGTTTCCCCGTGGGGTGAGGTCCAGTGACTCACAGGGCAGCCCACTTGATGACACACCTGCCGTAGCTGCCTTCTCCTCCCTGTCTCCCCACACCCCAAGGATGACTCCTGGGGTGACCCCCAAGCAAACAACTTTGCCTTGTGTTAATCTCAGGACGTGCTTCCTGGGGATCCAACCCTAAGGCAGACCTCAAGTTGCCCACTTCTTGCTTAAGAGTTGAAATTAGTATGCTGTAACCATTATCACAATGCAAACCTTTCAGTTGCTTCTGATGCCCTCGCTGTCAGCAGTGCTACAATGACTCGGTGCCCTGGGACTCGGGCATCAGGCACCCACTCAGGCCTCCCCTGGTGCACACCTAGGCCTCCCAGGCTCACATGTGCACACTCCTCTGGCTATAGACTAGGAACACACTCAACCAGTTGGTGTCAAATAGCTCTCTATGTGACTGCTCCAAGCTACGCTCCAAACA